AAGTGTTACCTACCAGATAGCCATCCCTGTTCTATGCATGTGTCATGGCATACCAGGAGTGTCTTCTACTACACGTCAAGTCCAAAAGTGAAGCATCCACTTCACTTGAAAGAACTGATAAACCAGACAGAACACTCTAATCTTATTTTCTGCTAATATGCTCTGTTAGTATCTTGTGTCTCAAAACAGATGATCTAATATTTGGGGGAAAAAAAATTTAAAAAAAGATAAATTTGGCTGTAGACAGTCCATGCCATGAAGAGCTCCCAGAAATGCTTAAATAGCTATGTTGTAACAGATGAATGTGCCTTTTGCATGACAGCTCAATCATTCGTAGATGTGGTTATACCATTCTGCATCATCAAGCTTGGTATTCAGCAAACTACTGCCAACTCCACCAGCACTCTGTGTTTTTTGGGCTTAATAGGAAACCCGCTTCAACTCATAATTTCTATTAGCTTGTGCAAAGGCAGAAAGTCATGTCTTGTGTAGTGATGATAGTTGGAATTAACACTGATTGCAGAAATCTATCATATTGCCCGAGGTTGGCTGACTCTTGGTGATGATGTAGTTGATCATTTGGCAATGTGTTCCACATGATCTGCGTCCCCAAACCAAATAGAATAACCTGGGCAAAGCTGGTGAGCCAAATACATGGAAACAGAGCTCCCAAAAAAGCGGAAGTAGCTTTTCAGTAGAGGTATTCACAGCCCAAGCTGTGGCTAAGCTTTGTCACTAGGCTAAAATGTTCTGTATTTTTAATTCAGACAGCTTGATGCTTTTCCACAGCTAGGTTAAGCTATCGATGTTCCCCATAAGAGATTATTTCTGATCCCATGCCACTCACTCCTGTGCTTACTCTGAATAAACATTAGGAAACTGATCCAGGTTAAAACTAACCTAACTAACATAGGTCAGTATCCAATGCAGTCAGCTGAGCAGCCAAATCAGTGTCAGTGCTAGCACAGACTGTGACAGCAAGTCGATAGAACCAGTCCCAATCAGTTTTACTGGTATGCCTTTGAAGTACTTCCACTAATCACTGGCAGAGCCAGCACATTATTTTCAATAAGCTTTAATGTCACAGTCACTGTATATGGATCTACAGTCAGGACTACATCATCATTATTTGGGATGCTAAATACAATTAAATATTTGTCAATTTATTTATTGAGTAGTGCACATCTTAAAATAATTTATAGCTGATTTAATAATGCCAAGTGATGAGGTGCACATGTGTGAGCACTTTGTATCATGCCACAAATAGAGTGAAAGAAATCGGGTTTCTTCTTCTGAAATACTGAAGAGCACATGCAATTCCTTTCCATTACATAAACTTCTAGCTCACCAAAATACCATTTTAGTATCTGCCAATATTGCATAAGGAAGGACATCTATCATGAGAAGGATCTTTTACTGTGTTTTGTCTGGTCATGTGTTTTGCTGATTTTCAAGGTATCTAGCCAGAGTATACATTCACAGTGATGATTCAAGAAATAAAGCTTGTGCCTAGTGTTACTTGCTCAAATTCATGATAAATTCCAGTTATGTTGGCTTATTGCATCTATGCAGAGAGATCGCTCCTAATCACCTAATAGCAAACACTGAAAGAACCATCTAAAATTTACCTATTGCTACTTCGATGCACAGATTTTTGCCAGCAGAAAATGGTTGGATTTTCATTACATCTCATTCTGAGCAACCTCGCTCACTGTTTGGCAATTTCCTCGCTCAGTACCTCTGAGCCTCCCAGTGGCACATTTTGCATTTGCCATCAATGTCAGGCAGGAGAACTTCAGAAAAGAGGTAGTGCTGTGCTGATAATTTTTACATCTTTTTACCATTAGTAGAATAGTTTTATAAAGAAGTTGTGGCCTGTGGCTGCAACCAGCATGTATTAAGTCTATAGACATAATACAAAAGCAGCCTCAAACTCTCATCCCAAATACTGAGCCTGTAACATCTTTTATTCCAAAAGTGTTTTGTGCCTTGCTGTAACTGTGCTCATGGAATTATACCACTACATCTGCAATTTAGTCCAGGTTTCATCATTCTATCATGTTAATAACTGTTTTTAAGGACAAAGAAAGTGTTAAAAAGAGTAAATAGCACATAATATAATAATAATAATATGCATAATTGTGCATATTTTTCTGTGATTAGCTGTGATCAAGAAAAACGGATGTGGAATAAGGAATAGGAATTTTACTGTTGAAATTCAAATAAACGTAATATCCCCAAACTGCAAAATCCAGGATCACAGTGTGAAATCCTCACCAAAAGTGTTTCATCTGTAGGAATGTGTACTACCCAGACCTCTTCTTTAAACTGTTATCACAAATACAAAACCCTCATAAACTTTATTTGGTAAACCCTATACTGCTTCCTACTAGTTTCAGAAGGGGATATAATACTTTTTTATTTTTTTAAGGCACATAAAGAGATAAAGTACAGTCAATTCATGAAGTGTTTTGAGTGGCATGCATAGAGATTTTTATATAAGATGGAGATCAGGAAATACAATAAGCAGGTGAAGCTCTACAGGATTCCTTATGAAGCTCAAAAATCACTTTCCGTTCTCTAGGAAGGGGCTCTATTCATATACATACAAAATAGGAATAGCTTTAAAAATTAAGACTTTGAAAATCAATATTGTATTTAATTGTCGTTGTGTCGTCTGTCTCCCGTGTCCTCCCCCCCACTCCCCCCCAAAAATAAAAGGACAAGGAATACTGAAATCAGAATAATTGTGTTGTGATGAAACATGTATTGTTCTTGATGAGAATGTGTCATTATGTAGACATGGCAAGATTTCCTAACAAACTAATTCCCTGGATCTGAAGGGTGGGTTGTTTTTTTCTTTGGTATACCAAATCATGGCAGAGTACAGCACTACTTGGGACCGAGACTATGTTCAGAGACTTAGTTGCTAATGCAGCACCTTCTCACTCAAAAAAGACATAAAAGGGATTAATTGACTCATACAACTGCTTTAGGCAGCTAAACAGGCTAAAGACTAACTGCAAACAGGCTGGCTGCTTCTTTAAGAGGTCAAACCCCTTTAATTTTTATAGATGGTTATACTAAAACATCTGCTTGTCAAGACACACCCTTGAAGGCAGTACTAAGCTTCTATAACCTCAACAGTTCGAGAAAAGAACCGTGTAGCTGATTGGTATCTCATGCCTTTATCTTGATCTTTCTTTCCCTTTAAAACTATCTTTTTTCTTAACTGGCAGTTTCAAGACGTGCCATGAGCCAAGTAATTAATTATTGGTCTTTAAATTAATTTAGCATGAAGTTTAAAGTATTAAATTAGTGCTTAAGGAATTAACTTTTAGAATGTCAAATATAAAAATTAATTCAACCAAATACAGAGTAGACAATATTTTGCCTTGCAGGTATATTTAGTGCAGATGTGCATATTATGATGATTAGTTGTACAATTAAGTCTTCTACTGATCACCACAGTAATCTTCATCACAATGAAGAAAGTAACATACATACGAGTTGCAGTCAAAAGGAAAGAAACTCTGTATATGAAGGTTTCCAAAGTATTTTTTAAGAAACCTCCCTTGAAGATCCTTGGAGAAGCCCCTGGTAAACACGCTAAATCAGTGCAACAAAACTGCCAATAAAATTACGGTTTAATCCACTCAGCAACAAGTGGCATGAAAAAACCTCAAGCCTGCAAATTACCTATTGACATTAATAGGTTACTCTTCAGAGAATTTTCAGCACAAATTTGTCAGTAGGCTGCAAGTGTTTTTCTAATGCAAATGTGATTTATGAAAAAGAAAAAGGGTAGGCCACCAACTGAAAGAAAACATTTATTGAATCAAAGTCAATACTTTCCTTTTAATATCTACAAGCCAACACTGAACTGACTTTATTCAAGAATGAACACAATGTACAAAAAAAGTATGTCTGTTATAAAAATATGTAATTTTTTTTTTCCTGGCTATTGAGCCGAGAACATTTTGACAAGTGCAAGATAGGTTTGGCAAGCAAATTTAAGCCACTACTACCAATGACGAAGTTCAAATAATTTTGTAAGCATAGTATATTTAAGACTTATTGATACAGTGGCATTGGAAATGTTGACCCCTAAAAAAAAATATATATATCACTGCACTGCCATGTATTTATGCATCCAGACAATTGAATATCTTAATCTTCTGTTGTTACCAATCAGTACCTTTATCAGTGAAGACTATCCAACCTAATTCAAACTATTCAACCAGATAATTGACACCTACCACTGGAATACAACTTAAGGAAGGCAAACTACCTCCATGGCCCTGTATTTTGTGTGTTGTTTGCAAACAGAGAAGAATATGTAGGTTCATACATGTTTAAATCAACCTGACAGCTGTTGCAATGTGAAATCAGCAAAAGGATGGAAAAAGAATAAAGAATCATTTATGATGGCAATCTATATTTATGAACATATGTGTGTTTACATATAAAAGTGGATCTGACTAGGCTCAGTTATGCCTTATTTGTTTGGATTTTTTTTTTTTTTTCCACATAAAAATTTAACTCAACCAGGACTCAAAATCATAGACTTCTCTAAAACCACCAAGGAGGAAAAAAAGGGACCATTTATAGAGATAATCTGAAAACAGTGCAATATTAAAATACAATTTAACAAGGTGTGAAAGAAACATGCTTTGGAACCTGAGCAAAAGGCATTTTACTGACTTAGTAAAAAGTCACCCTGTATGTTGTTTTCATTGGCACCTGTTCTGCCAGGTTAGTATGTTGCTCTTAGCAACTTCCATGGCCCCTAAATATTTAGTACACAGAAACTGCCAACTACTTAGAGAGGTCTACTAAAATTTTCAGCTAATATTGCAGGCAGTCTGACATGCTGCTACTTTAAATGACCATACAGCCTAAAATTAAGAAAAATCATAGAAAGAAAAAGCAGCAGCCAAACATGATGCTTTTCTTTTTTAAAGAGACTAAAGCACTTCCACAACACTTCGATACGGTACTACACTGGTTTACAGTCTCAAGGTCAGCTCTTTCAAAATAAATATACTGAACATTTACAACAAATGCCTCATGAATGCAAGCTCTCTCTTTATTATTTCAAGACCAGTTGGATAAAAACATAACTCTGAAACAGCTAAGTTACAAGTCCTTTTTCAGAAACAGACATGACTTGGTGCCACAGCAAAGTTTTTCACCAGTCTGCAGTAAGCAATTTTTTTCTTCTAGCACCAAGCAGGCCACCATACAAAGCAACCTCACAAAGCATGCGGCCATCTACTCTGCTGATTTTGTACGAAATAATCACTTGTGCTTGCAGGTCCCTGACCTTTCAAAAATGGGCATGAACGATAGATGATTGAAGACATTAATGGAAACTCACTCACTTCTAAATTACTTCAGTGGAGAAAAGACTAAAAAGCAACAGAATGTTGCACATTAGTATTTGTGAGGGACGAGGGAAGCGAAGGTTGGTGCTTTAATTTGGCCTTAAAACAAACAAAAAAGCTAAAACCAATCCTAAACAGCTCTATGTCCATGATACTGGTAGAGGCCAATGTGCACATGCCACTGAAAGGCACGGTCCTCCCAATCTGATAAATGGCACCATCAGAGCAGAACAGCAACTTTTCACTGGAGTAATCACAAAGGGTGATCAATGAGCCATCACTTCTCTCGCCATGAGCACACAAAGCAGTCACCAAGGCAAAAGTGGGGACACAGGAAAGAAGATACAGGAACTCACATCAACCTGGAAGACAGAAAACACACATTAAACTGAGTTTTGAACATTCTGAGTGACCATTTTTGTACTGTAACATTGCTATTAATTGATTTAACACCATACATATGCTTAAATGGATGGAACTGTTGCAAAACAAATCATATCAATAAATTTTTTTTAAAATTTGCTATACAACTAAATTCACTTGCAAAGACTTATCTACAATATCATCTTAGCTATAAAACAGGCTTACAGACAGACTGATGAAGACAGGACAATCTCTTTTTCACTGTAAAAAAATTAACATGCTTGCACAATACTGCATTTTTTACCCAGAAATGTATTTTAAAATTTGGCATCGTAAAGACACAGCTATTTGTAGGGAGCTGATTATTAAGCAGAATGATTGTTCTTCCTACTATTCTAACAGTGCCTAAAAAGCAGAACGCAATACTTACCAGAAAGATATCCCCAAGGTTATCCTGCCTTTGTATCTACAAGCTGCATCTGAACATTTGCAGACATGCCACCTCCATAGCCTCCCTTGGATTGCATTTGGTTCTGAATTGAGCTAACCTGGAGGCAGAAGGGAGAGGGGGGCAGAGAAAATAAGAAAGGCAGTCAGTGAGCTACAGCATCATCTTGCTTCCAATTTTGTTTCTTGTTTAGGTTTGGTTTTCAAGTGCTCCTTTACCATTAAAGCTACGTTACTTTTGCATAAGGACACAGGCAGTGTAGGCTTGCTGGAATTTTCACTTCTGCAAGCATCTCAGCAGGAGAGATGGAAAAACTGGTGCTGAGGCAGAAGATTTTCCTCTCCCCCAAAGAAAACTGGCTGATTCAGGCTTTCACTGACCCAATTAACTACTCAAAAAAAAATTTAATCAAATCTCTCACTGGTATCTGACAAGATATAATTTGTCTTGCTATATGGAAAACATTCTTTGCTGAGTATGATAAACCACAGAAGTTGACACCATTATGTTAAAAAAGTAATAAACAACTTCCAAAATATCTGAATAGTATCTGCACTGTATGGCTAACTTCAGATAATTAAAAAAGGACTTTCTAAACCGAAAAGAAACTTTTGGTTTGTGGAATGCTTTTTATTTATCTATTTATGTAACAGCATACACTGCTTTCCTTAATTGCTACTATCCCTTTAAATGGTAGAGCATTTATTGTTCAAATCATACTCAGTTTCTCAACTTCCCTGGAAATGCCTTATTTGAAGGTATTTTTAGCTTGATGCAAATAAATACATAGAGACACCCCCCCACCTCACCCACCCCAAGACATACACATCCCTCTATGGCTTTCATTGCCTTTATCAACAAAAAGGAAGGGAAACCGTAGTTCTTTCCAGCTTGTATTGCATGAATCAAAGTAATCATCTCAAAGTGCCTGCAGGAAGACAACTCCAACCTTAAAGGTTTGGCCTTTTTCTCTCTGCACCCCAGAGCATACATAACAAATACACAATGAGTACAAAATAACACATTCATTCAAGGCTACAGCTTCTGAAATTGAACTTGCAGCAAAGCCTATGGCTGCAGGGCACCACTTGCAATTATTACATGTATGCTACTTCATAGAGACCTCAAAACATCACTAGAAAGCTGTATTAAAACAGCACTGGAAAAATATTTCCAAGTAGCTTACACGGTATTTTCCCTGTCTACAAAAAAAGAAGTATATTATTTTACACAGAAAAGCAAAACACATGCACACATACAAAATGAATCAGCACAACTCTTTCTTACACACTGTTTCACAAACCAATGTGAAAAAAAAGAGACTGTTTTAGGATCTTTGTCTTCAACAGTATGGCATATTGCAGTGCTGTGCAAAAGATCTAATTTTTATGTATTCAAGCAGCACATGTAAAACCACTTTCTACCTTGGCGCTTTGCTCAAAGAAGTGATACAGATGCAGCAAAGCAATGTTATGTCCACATTTTTCTTCAGGGAAAAGTGTTCAGAGCTAATACTCTACTGGGTCTGACACCAGAGACTAGAGACTCAGTAAGGAAGCGTGGAGAAGTGCAAGCACATTCATGGGGTGGTGTTTAAGAACTTTCACGTTCCACCGAACTGGTCATTTTCTTCACCAAGCATCTTCTATTGCTCATTGGAACAAAAGGAGTTTGAATTTAATACTTCTTTTTTCCCTCAGAAAATAGTTAATCTACATTTAAACGTATTCACAAGAATTATCTGAAGATGGCACTAATTTGAATCTGAATGAACCCTGCCTCTAGTGAGAAAGAACTAACTCCAGGCCATATCACCTTCAAGCCCGACAACTTGCCTACATGACTTGCAAATTTTGGAGAACAGCAAATCAACACAAATTGCAAGGCTGAAGTGTAAATTGTTATGAGTAATTCTTCTAAAGGTTAGAATAATTTCTCTCGTACTTGAGTCACACATACAGATATTTCTGTTAGTGGGTAAGGAAGTATTGATCTAAAATCCAGAGGCTGTTACACCTAAAGCAAAGAGAACAGAGCAAATTAAACTGGACTGCATTAACAGTTCAGTGGATATTTTGTGTATCAAAACTTATATAGGAGACATACAATGTCAAAAACACTGAGCAAAAAGCAGGTCTAACAATCGTAGGCTTATAAGGTGGCAGTCTTTCTGAAGCATCCCCTCTTTGAGGCAGTCTGTGCTACAAGAACAAGCACCATGAAATACAATTATTTTTTTTTCTTTCCCAAAGATGCCACTGCCTTCCTTTGATGATACATAGCAGCAAGGTGGTTCTTTCATGTCTAATTTAGATAAGATAAGGATTTAAAGATTTTGGAAGGAGAAGAGTATCGCACCAATTAAAAATCATACAATACAATACAAACAGTAAGTTGTGCTGCTTATCTGTCTCATTAATTTCCTTATTTCCTTTTCTTTCCCTCCCTTTTAGAATTAGGAAATAGCACAGATGCTCCTTAAGAAAGAAAACAAGGGAGAACTAAGAAAAGGACAGAATACACGAAAACAAACACTAGAATGAGTAATATGAAGAAGAAGAAAGTCAGAGATTTAACCATGGAATATGAAGGTAAAACAAGAAAGTGACAGGAATGAGAAAAGAAACAATGCACAGTTTAAGCTTACCTTAGACAAAGGAGCAAGGTGCTCTACAGAGAAGGTGAAAAAAAAGCAAAAAAAAGAAGCAAAAAAGCAAAATATTTCAGTAGTCAGAAAACTACTGTACTCAGAATCATAAGAACATGTAATGAACAATGCTGATGGAAAAAGGCACAGAGCAGACAGTAGATGAAGAGCCAATTTTATACCGGAAACGCTAATGAAATTGCAGGAGGTCCTCCTAAAGTATTCACAAGAAAGAAGGCACAAGGAGGTTCACGAAGGAGCATAATGTCCATACTACAAAGGAAATTAAGCAGCAGAAAAACAGGTGGAGGTTAAGTCTTGGAATTTACACTGCAAAGAATGAACAAGGAGAATGGATGCATAGTAAATCACCACAGAAGAGGCAAGAAAATAAGCAGTGTGAAAAAGTAAGAGATGTATGCTTCTGAAGAGAGGGGAAAAAAGATTATTTTTTGCATGCCAATCCTTTCTATCTGGGATGACAAAAACCACTCTGGCCACTGATGCAGCACATTATCCAAATGAAAAAAAAAGTGAGAGAAAGAGACAGTTATGAGCACTCAAAATGCAAAATTCTAGGTAGAGAGACACTAATGACTACCTACTATCTGGAGATGAACGGGATATTACGCAAGGCAAACACGAGGGCAAGCAGGGGTAAAGTCTGAAGTGACAGAGCAAAGCTTCATGCAACCTCACATGAGGCAGCTCAGCTGTGAGAATGAGGAAGGTTCTCACAGGAGGGACAACAAACACTTAAGAAGCAAAAAGCCATGCTTTAAAAAAATAAAGAAAACTGCTCACTTTATTATCACTTTATTCTTTCAATTTATAATGACTTTAAATATATTGCATTAAATAAGTAATTAGCTTTAACTGAATTTTATCAAGTTGAAGCTGTGTTTGTCTATTTAACTTGCTTACAGATGTTTTAGTATAAATCACTCCCAATCCATTATGTTGTTCTAGGAAAATGTAGCATATTTTTTGTCATGTCAGATTTTCTAGCTTTGCCCTTCTCCAATACATACTAAGTTACAAAAGCAACCCAAAGTATTCCATGATGTCAGTAAGTTGTACAGTAGTTGAAACTACAAATGACCTGACTTGCCTACATTAAAACTCTTTCCTTTACAGCTCTGCTCTCTATTCTGATACCTCTGACAGAACTCCTTCTTTTCTGTAAAAAAGTATTTTTCATTAATTTTAACCTCAAAACATTTTTTCCTTTAAAGAGGATTATTAATGTCAAGAAGTATTTTTCATCATTATCTACATACAACCCTTTTCTAGATTGAATATTATTGACCTTAAAAACAGATTGACACTCTACATAAACATGAAGCTGTACAAAAGAAATCTATCCTCATAAGCTGACTTTCAGTATCTATCTTAGCTTCTGGTTTTCACTTTCAGAGAGTTAAAAATATTTATTGCTCTTCCCATCTACAGGAAGTCACAAAACCTTGCCTGTGACATGGTTGCTTGCTCTGCCAATAATTCACAGTGCAAATAGGGCTACAGACTACAGAAAAACCTCAACAACATCCAAAAATATTTGTGTGCACCATGAACCAAGGTAAGCTAGAGTTTTACATGAACTGTATTTAAAATAGCTTAAAGCATTTAAGGTAAGAAATCTAGTCAATTATAAGACACTTTAAAAAGTTTTCTCTAAAATAATCTAATAATAATTTTCAAATATACCTCTATTTTAGTTCATACATGCCATCAGAATGGATTTTTAAGAAGTAGTCAACACATAGCCTGTACAATATATACAGCATCTACTATGTGTTGTCAATAAACATAGGAATTTTAAAAATGATAGTCCATAATCTTGAATGCAAGTGTTTAAGACTTGGAATTAAGATACTAGCAGGTTGTTCTCCAGTTTTATAGAGATTCTTAGAGTTGAAAGACTCATGGCTTCAGCCACAGAATGCATATGCAGTGTTCCTGTATTCTAAGATAAAGCTTTCATTATCTGCTGATGCTTACCGAATTCATTCCACTGAATAGGTCTCCTGATCCTACATGAGCTGTGTGAACAAAGTTTGTTGGCTCCCCAATCATGCTTCGGTCAATCCGCCGTCGTCTCTTCTGAAAGGAAGGCAAAGAAACCATCTAACTGAGAGTCACTGAAAATGCAAAAACAATGTGTGTCATAAATGTAAAAGTTCACTGTCCATAGAATATTTCATACACTGCAAGATATTTTCCTGCTTTGTCAGGAGGGTTGGACTAGATGATCTTTCGAGGTCCCTTCCAACCCCTAACATTCTGTGATTCTATAAGATAAGAGGAAAAGACCTGTAAAGGGATCCTGGAAGTTGAATATGAAATGTTGTCATTTAATGGCTTTACTCAGTCTATTCCCTTGACAGAGATCTGCAGAATTTGGATTGCAAAGGGCACACCAGGTAATCTTTACACCTTGAAAACAATAAGTAATCTTTAAACAGAAGTTGAAGAGATGCAGGTTTGTGCGTTGAGAGGAACAGAGGCAGTCTTAGGACCCATCTCAGAAGCTTTGCTTTGAACATATACTAGATGCAATGAAACTAGATCACATTTCAGTTACCATAGTAATGAAGTAAAGAATTGATGTCTCTTCTATTCTTAATCTGCAAGTGATGCTTTGCACCCACACAGGGTGGCATGTCTTTTGAAGTACAAGATCAGAATTCACAAAGCCACCAACAGTTGCATCACACAGAAATTATTTAACTCTGCAAGTTTCTCAAAACTTTTGATAACCAGTTTTAAACTTCTGTTTAAAAAAATTAATTATACAGTGTATTCAACCTGCCCTTCAGCAAAGCCACAAGCATTTTACTGTAACACTGTTTTCATAGTTCAAAAACTACTTACTGCAAGAACTTAAACACTGTAATTTGTTTCTTTAAACAAATAATTGCCACTGACGGGTCCAGAGGCTTGTAAAATTTCCTTTTTATTTCCCTCTATCTTTGGCTTGCAGGGAAGAAGTGATCTTTTTTGACTATCTCCAAATTTTGTCCAGAGGCAGCGCTTCTCTAGCTCAGTCTACTTCATAGCGATGGCAACAGTTCTGAATTAGACAAGTTCTCTGCCTGTGTACGTACATATAATTTTTTTGCTTTACACAGTTATGCATCCCTCTCTGCCATTCATAACAGGCCCTCTCAAAAAAAAGAAGAAAAGACATGCACAGTAGCATCGAAGTCTCAAATATATCAAAATATTTGAGTGATGTCACTTAGATCCTAGCAGGCTGAGAGTTATTTTTCTAGAAGCTGCTAAAAGTAGAAGTCACAAGTAACGTCAAAAAGAGTATTATACAAAGGTATCCCAAAGTCAAGTACCAACCTATGTATGCTGCAGATCAAAAGCAGTCTCTTCTGTTTAGCTAGCAGAAAAGCATGTTCTGCTAAATCTGCACCGTATTTTTTGAGAGAGCTGATAGATATATATCCCAAATCCAAGTTTAAGTGAGTTTAAGTGAAACATTAAGTGACATGCAGCACTTCAAAGGACCCTGCAACACAAAAGCCTGCACGGATTTGACCTGCAGAAGGCTCCAACTCAGCCCTAGTCAGTCCTCCAATGGAGTGGTACTGCGGGTACAGATGTGGAACGTAATTTCTAAGCATAAAGTGATACATAGTGGAAACTGAAACAACTCAGAGGGGATGATAAGTTACTGTCATATTGCGAACACGCAGAGTTTCTGAAAAGAATGCTTCTTTATTTAAATTCCCGCATATGCCACTTTTCTCCTACCACCTACCATTTAATTCATCTCCACTTTACACACAAGAAAAACTGTCAACTCCTTGTCCCACACAGTAACACTTTTTACCTAGCTGTACGTTGTCCTGGCTTTTTATATCTTAGGATATCAGTGAAGTAAACTGTAATAAACCAGGCAACAGAATACCTGCTACCGTCAATGCAAGCCTACTATAGGGAACAAACAGAGCACGTCCACACAAATCAGTGGCAGAGGCAGACTGGAACGTTGCACCTCACATTAAGAATAACAAATTTTGGTATTTAAGCCACAAGTAGTAAATCTTTAGTTTTTGACCATTCTTCTCTGAAGCTAACACAGATATAGTTGCTTTTCTATTGAGGAGAACATTTTATTTCTATTTATTAGTATTATCAAGCTACCCAAGGCAAGGATAAGTCCTTCCTACTGCTAACTTTGTAGCATCTACCAAAACATTGCAAGTGTCACTTTTCATGACTGTGCTTACATATACATACATAGTTTTGTCTTATTTTATATGTAGTAAAAATATATTGCACATGATATATTCATCTATTACATAACAATATATATTCTTATATCACATATTGCATTTCAAGGCATTTTTCTGTCATTTCATATTTATCTATTTATCTCCAAAAAAAGGTAAGGCAAAGCAAACTAAACTAGAAGGGAAATAGCACGCTGATCTGACCTATCTAGTCTAATCTTGTGCAACGCATTTCCAACCAGATTCAAATCAATATGAAGTTATCCATATATAAAAAGGCAAGTGACACACCTTTCTTATTTTGATACAGTTGTTTTTGTCTTTCATTCTAACTACCTGTAGAAGAGGAACTTTGGTTCAAATTTGCCATAATTTCCTTATTCTGCAAGACGTGTTGTTTTGGCTTCTTTGATATTAAAATATAAAATTTGTAAGCTTGCCAGAAACTCACATGCAGAAAAGCTAAGAAGTTGCATTTATTGAGGCATAATCCCTGTGCTTTATAGTCTCCTTTTCTGATTAAAATTATGAGAAACATCTTTTGTATTTTAACTTCAAAACAGCCTTGATACAAAATCAGGGAAAAATAAAACAAAACACTGTGCTTTTGGCATCTCATCTGATGCACAGTAAAAGCATAAAGTTCCCAAGATTAATTTTCTAGTCTTGTATCTTCTTTAATTTCAGACTTTTTTTTTTTTTTTTAATCAGTTCTTTAAAAGGAGTGCATATTGTGCAAATCAAGGTATTCCTAATACTCTACACTGGAGTGGGCTATCGCAGCAGCATTTGAGGCTTCAGTGGGCCCCATTCAGCTGCCAGGATTGCCTTCATTGAGTCAGCAATGCTTATTGCTGGCTTGCAGGCTAGGCAACCTAGCTAAGACAAAAAATAGTTTTTTCCCTTTTCTTAAATGATTACTGTCATAAACCAGGCTTATCTCTCTTGGAAAAAAGATAACTAAGAACATTTAATTCCTCTCTGAAGCCTCGTTCAAGACTGAATAACTTTACTCGTGATCTCCCTACTGGGAAACTCTCCCTGGTGAACAGAAAAGTGAACGATCCATCTGGACGCTATAAAGAGCTGCTTTACAGAATCAGCTTCTGTGATTAGAGAACGACCACCACTCACATTTATTACCTCCAAAAATTTTGCTCTTTCCAAAGCAGAAAGATGACTGTGAAATCAGGAACACTAGAAAGTTACACAGCCTTTAAACTTGTCTCCATAACATGAGGGTCATTTTTTCAGACTGCTCAGTCACTGCTATCCCAGCCATTAAAATGGCATCAAAGTAAGAAGCAATTCACTCTCTACGATAGCTATTTGCAAGCTTGACTTTTAAATAACAGCAGGGTAATTTGAATATAACGATGTATAATAACTTTTAACCACATCATCAAATCCTTTGCCACACTAAGAGACCTAGAGTTAATACATCTTTCCATACTGAAACAATGAAAATCCCAAAATCTCCTAAACGAAAATAAACGCCAATAAAGCCATGACAACTGCTGTTCTTATGGTAGACAGGACAAGTGCAAACAAGGACTATGCTCCTGGTTCTCCTCTGTATCAACCTAGCGCATTTGTTTTCATGACTGGGACCTAGTCAGCTCATACTGACTGTATGGATGCACCATCAAGGCAGTGATAGGTAAGCATGTGATTTGCTCGCTCAGTTTTTAAATTTTTTTTTAAATAAGAACTACCAGATTTATACGGAGGCTCACAGCTCTTGTTGCTGACCTTCTTTCACAAATAACTCTCAAATAGCAACCCTTTTTTGGAGAACTTCTGTTACCATTCATTCTAGTGTTAATTTCAGGCTAAATGCAAAAAGAGCTTGCAAAAAGCAAGCTCTTTTAATCTGCTAATTTACTCTCTGGGATCACTACCAATCAAGATAGGTGTTTCACAACTTTTCTCTTGAGGACAAAGTGATCTATTAAACTTTTCAGTGATAAAGCTCTCTGTTGAAATGGAGCTGTTTGCTAGCTTTGTATTCAAGAACTCGGCCGAAACATCAAAAGCAGCACAGACCCAAGATAAAACTAGAAAATCTAAGGAATCAATCTTAATCAACGATAAGACAGTCAACCATTTCAAGAGTAGGGATTTGGACGGTTACAGGAGAAACTGAAAAGAGAGAAAACGCCCTTCACTTTATTTTCCTTCTTTGGAAAATCTCTTCTACTTTTCATATTTGCTCTGAAAAGACCACCAGCAGAAAAGGAGTTCCTATGCTGTGCCACCCAGCTGATCCTCCACACGCTAACACATAGGAAAAGGTAGGTAACTTGCTCAGTATCAGATCACCCTGTAGAGGTGGCTTTCTGTCTTCCCACATGCATGCTGTTCTGCTCCCAAAATAGTCTGATGTGCCCTAGATGGCTGGCTGTGTCTCAAGACAAGCTGTGGTCCGAGTGACGTGTCTGGTTCCCAATAACAACCCATCAAAATTTAAAAAAAAAAAAAAAAAAGGTCTTAAAAAGTGTCTTTCATCAAACCCTACAGAAAGTGGCTGCAGGGGCAAGAGTGTCCCTTGTATTTGTTTTTGTGCATTGTGTGTTTAAGATGCATTTCTTCACACTTTTCTCCCCAATTAGGAACCTTGAAATTCATGTTAAAAACAACGAAAAGCATGTACACATATATAGCTGGAATGCTAATACACTCCCATTTCTAGCAACTGGATCATTCTGTAGCAAACTAGTACTGTGAAACCAATGACTGGATGTAGAGGATCATCATATAGCCAGTATGATATTTTTGAAGAAGAAAAGGCTGCACACCTCCTAAACATTTCCCTGAACACTGTGGTACTCCCCAATTTTTTTCAGTTTTTTAAAC